TATTGTTAGAATAATTGTATCATTCATAAATTAAGTACAATATAATTCTTATTATCTTGAAAATGAACAAGCTATTGAATAAATTGCATTTTGTATAGACTATTCTTCAAACGTAAGTCCTTCAACACTTGCGTAAAGATAATCAGAATTACTAGATTAAAGTGATAATGTTAAATTGGGACCTAAAAATATTTGGCTTCTATCTATAACTTTATCCTAAGGAAATTATAGAATTAAATCCTCTATATCTTATTGAAATTAAATAGGATTCTAATTTTCCGTAACATCTAATTGAATCAATTAAATTTAAAAAGTATACTACATAAATTTATTATTTAACTAAGACTTTACTTATATATCAAGTTTTACAGTTTAACTCATTTCTTCTAATAATTTGGAGGTATCTTAAGAAATAAATATTTAAGGTTAATTAATTAAGTAAGTAGAAATTATGGTTTAATTATTGAAGAATTCTTAAACAACTACAATATTCCTCAATAAATTAAAAAATGCATATGTTCCAAATTATAGTAGTTAATAACCTGTAGCCTTAATGGAGTCCTTTAATTACAAGTCAATTATGAATGTATCTGTAACAATGAATATATTATCCAAAGTCAATTCTATTTTGTTTATTTTTTGATACTCATTCAAAATATATGAATTTGATTAGGCCTATATATTGATATAATTAGTATCTATAAAAAAAGATTGAAGTAATTATTATTGTAGAATTATTATGTGAAACAAGTTATTACTAATTTGAAAAGTTGTAAAATATGATATGGGTTAGGAATCATCTTAAATTTAAATATTTGAATTAAATATTTCCTGAATACTACTACTATTTAAACTAAATCAACTAAATAAACATGTTCAGAATTTTTCAAAAAAAGATAATTCTAATAATCAGATAAGAAAGCATTTGAATATGATCCATCAAATATTTATTCAGATGTTTATTATATATCATCTTAATTATAAGTAAAATAAACAATATGAGCATTTTTTGGTGTTGTGTATATCAAACAAAATGTAAATTATGTGTTATTTATAGATAAGATTTAAATAATAGGATTATAAAATTAGGATTCTATCTAATAATTTATGATAAAGTCTGTGCATTCTAAGCTTGTTGAATTTATTAATGTAAAATATAATTCACCATCTTATAAGCTACTCAGCATTCCAAAATCATTTGTTATTAAGTTTATTTAGAAATATACTAAAAACAATACAAAAATATATATTACATTTTTAAATCATAATATCCAAAAAATTCATATATAATTCTCCATTACTTTATATTCGACCCTTGTAAAGTGTATCATTTTAAGTTAAAACCCAAAAAATGTTAGAATTAACCCCAGAAAGCGAAATATAATTACTTCCAATCCTTATTGATGAATCATTAATGCTACTTGAATTCATCTTAAAAATTTGAGATATTGCTTAATCAATTGTTAAGTTGAATTCGCTTGAACTTAATAATTCGTAGAATGGAGCTTCAACTATTTTGAAAGTATAATCTCTCAAAAATATTGTATTAGAATTTCGAATTTCCAAAGGGTAGTTATATTTCTGAGTTTAAGTAATTGGGATATCACTTAAACATTATTTCAAAATTGCTATTAGCAACCAAAAATGTTAAAACTTCATTAAATTATTCAATTGATGATATACAAAAAATATTTTGTTATTTATATATTAAGATATTTTAATAAGGAAAGACTACTTAAAAATAAATTAAATTCTATAATTAATTAAGGCCTCTACATATATATACATTATTGAAAATTGTATTAAAACATTTAAATATTGAATTTGATTAAGAAAATAAGAAATAACTCTTTTAATTAATCATTTTAATAAATACATGCTATAAATTATTGTTTAAAATTTCTTTTCATTATTTTTTTAAGTTTTAACTAATGGTATAAAATAATCAATTGATATGTTAATTAAAATACTCAATAAATTTTAATTTAATATCATATTTATAGTTATTTATTTAGAGTTCCTTCGTTTTATAAAAGGAAATTTCTTAATCGAATGATATTATCAATAGGCTTCAAAAATCAATATATTTTAGTCCATGATGAAAAATTAATTTTAATATTCTTTATTTCAATTAGAATTTTATATTCATACCTTTAAGAAAACCTAAAAAAATGATATAATATTTGCTAAATTTAATTTTGTTTAAATACTTTATTAAAATATATACTAATGCTTAGACTATTAAATTATTGGATCATTTTATTCCATTTTTTATTGTAGTATTTTTGAAATAGTCTAACATAATATAAATTTTCTCACCATCATTTTGATTAAAGCTTAAATTTAAAGAAATAGAGTTTAATTTATTTTACTTTAGAAATATTAGTTAATACTTAGACATAATTTTTTAAGTTAAAATTTATAATACATGTAAAACTCAAAATTATCATATTATTTTTGCTTTTTCTAAATTGTGTTTCTTCTATTAGATTTAAAATGTCTACAACTTATGTAAAGTTAATTGACTATATAGATATACTAAATATTATCTTAAATAAATGTTAAGCCTAATACTTTTGAAACAAAAATTCTCAATTTAATTTATGTATTAAATACTTAATTTTTCTATGCATTCCAACATTTTATATGGGTTATTAGTGATGAGACTTATTCTTAAAATTGGTGGTGCTTTTTGTTAGATAATAAATTTTATTCCTTAAAAGTATTGACATAAGCATCGCTTTTAACTCTAGGAAGCTTTTAATTAATATTAGAAAAATGTGGAAATTAAATCTATTCAAATGGTATGAAATTAATTTACTTTATATTTTCCATTAAAAACTTTCCCTATTAATATCATATTATTATTTTACAAATCTTTGGCTTATAACTACTTTAAGATTAATATATCTCTTCCTTACCTTTTCTATCCTGATTTTTATTTGTTCTTAACCTTGGTGAAAATATTTAAGAATTCGTTCTAAAATCACAGATTAGATATTATTTGGAAAAAAATAAAGATGATGATTCCGATTGAAACATAATTGAATAATATTTTATCACATGATTCTAAATACACTAAGCTTAAAGGAACAACCAAAAATTATAGAAAAATTTGCAACCTATATACTGAAATAAATAGAAATATTACTATTTATTTCTTCATTGTTATAATTAAATTAGCAGAAAAAATCAGAGAATTACAGAGAATATAAGCCTTGCTTGGGCTCAATTTAAGAATTTAATTATTATTTACAAGGTATTTTTATTGGATTCTAGTATTTAATGCAAGATTTAAGAAAGAATTTGCTACTCAAAGAAATCAACATTTTTATGTATTTATATATCTCTTTGAAAGTTACCGAAATTAATAGATCATCAATATCTATTTAAAATTGAAGTTATTTAAAATTAAATCAAATTAATGTTAAATACTCACTATCGAAATTAGCTCATTATGCAAATAATAGTTTTTCCTGAATATCTATATATATATAT